ATAGTTCTTCTTCTTAAGTCGCTCAAGAAATGGGGATTTCTCCAACTGCTCCTTGCTTGATCCAGTAATGTAAAAGATATCCTTTTGTCCTGATTTCATTCTTGAGATGTATTGATCCAATGAAGTCAATTTTCCATCCGACTTGGTACTGCAAGAGAGTTCGTCCAGGTTATTAATCAGAGAAGTATCTCAATGAGGTAGAATAGAATAAAGAAACCCAGGAATGAACTGAAATCGAAACAAACACAAGTACCTTTCAAATCGGAGCAGTTTTGCAAGACGGTTTCTGTTAGTTGCATCCTCAATAATACCCAGTTTGATTGATTTACCAAACTCGTTCCAGAATCGAGTATATTGGCCTTTCTTCTCATCATCATCACCACTACTCTTCTGAGCATCTACTTGTCAATGAAGGTTTCAAGTTAATCAAATAAGACATAGAATAATAAAATCAATGTCTTAATAGCATCATCCAGATTCAAATTCTTAAGGTGTACCTTTCTTCTCCTTGTCACTGGACTCATCAGGATCCTCTTCAGCAATTTTACGGATCATGTCAAGGGCCTTGCGGATGAGTTTCTTCTTTATTGTCTTCAAGCTGCTGTGTTGTTGGAGCATTTCTCGTGAAACGTTGAGAGGCAGAGTATCAGAATCAACAAGACCCTGCAGAGAATGAAAAGTATAAGAAAAATCCACAAATTAAGTCGGACATCTTTTTATCGAACTACTTGACCACTCATTTACCAGCAGAAAGCTCAAATACTTCGGCAGGAGCTCATCGAACTCGTCTGAGATGAAAACCCTTCGAACATACAACTTCAAGTTGGATTTTTTGCTGTTGTAATAGCTCTCGTATAGATCATGAGGAGCCTTAGGAGGCACAAACAGAACAGCTTTGAACTCAACATCACCTTCAGCATTAAAGTGACTCCATGCCATTGGCTTGTCATCACTAAAATCCTGCAACGTGACGCCAACTTAATTAGATTTGGAACCCAGATATTAAAGCTTCAAGTGCTTCAATATTTTTTCGCTGCTAGCAAACTAGGACAATTACCTTAGCAAGAGAATGGTAGAATTTAGTATACTCTTCTTCTGTCACCTCCTTAGGACTCCGCAGCCATATGGCTTTCACATCATTCAAAAGCTCCCATTCATAAGTTGTTTCTTTGACTTTCTTTGTCTTCGGCTTTTCAGAATCTTCATCTTCACTCTTTTCTGCATCATCTTCTTCTTCCGAACTGGTTTCAGCTGTTTTTTATGTCAAAGAAGCAGTTCTTTATAACAAATAAAATGTAATGAGAACGATTAAAACCATGAACAATGGACAGTTTTTTTTTTGGACCACGAAGGAAGTTATATAAGCATATCCAATTCAACATCCAAGATAATACATACGTGATTCTTCTCCGTCATTGGATTCATCCTCATCTGCAGGAACCTCGACGTCAATCTCTTTGCTTCCCCAGATATAAATAGGGAAGTTGATAAATTCTGAATATCTCTTCACCAAATCCTATATAGACAATGACCACAACCCATTTAGTTCAAATTGTTGGAAAAATATCGAAGAAAATACCAAACCAGAATACGCTTTTCAGACAAATTTTATCCAACCAGTAAACAGATTATCGATCAAGTTCGTTAAAAATCGAACAATGCACAAGAGGGTCATCAGAAGGAAAAACAAACTGCTTGTTGCAAAAGGTAGTGGAGGATAAGTAAAAAGAAGTTCTAACAGTTCCCAGTGAGAGAAAAAATCAATTACCAGCTGAAATGTGTCAAAGCATAATAAATAAGTAGATCCAAAATAAACACACTTGCAAATAACCCAAGTGAACCAAGTAAAGACCAAGCCTCTTCCATGCAGACAGAAAACAATGTAGGTTTCGGTATTGGGAGGTAAATTGAGCGATTTTATCTCCGTAGGCTCTCAATCACAAAATTTATTATTCCAGGTGAATAAAAGATCTAGGGCGTCTTTTCATGTTCAATATGAGGATCAAATCACTAACGAACAATAAAGCAGGTAATGAGAAAAGAAAATTTACTTTCAGTTTGCCCTCCTCCAAGTATTCTTGAGCTTCATCTCTAAGGTGTAGTCTAATTTCAGTTCCACGGCCTAAAGGTTCGTTCCAAGTATCTTCAGAGATTGCGAATGCTCCATCAGCCTTGGATTCCCACACATGTCTGAAAACAAGGAAAAGTTTAACATACAATAACTCCTACCAACGCAAGCAAACACATGAAAATAATAACGAGAATTGCTCACTGTTTGTCATCATTGTGTTTGCTAATCACTTCAACGTAGTCAGCCACAAGGTACACGGAGTAGAAACCCACTCCAAATTGCCCAATTAGATTGAGATCTCCGCTTGTCTGCATTTTTTCCACGAATGCTGCACATTGAGATAACCAGTTCAGTATCTTTCACAATTCACCTGTCGAGGTTTGTACGATAAACTTCTATATTAGAAGTACCTGAAGTCCCAGATTTTGCAATGGTTCCCAAGTTCTTAACTAAATCCTCTTTTGTCATACCAATACCTCTGTCGCGAATCGATAGGACTTTGTTCTCCTTGTCCAACTTAATCTGCGTTGTTTCATTCATGGCCAACAATATAAGTACGCCAATCCATCGACTAGAACATGTAAATTTTTTCAACCAGCTAATTAGAAAACAAATGTCCAAGTCTTAGCATGATGGTCGAACTTACTTGAATCTCAAGCTTTGAGTTGTCGCCCTCACCCAATATCTCTTTATCAGTCAGGGAGAGGAACCTAATCTTATCCAACGCCTGAAATACAAATATGCAGTCGGTCATAATCAATCTCAAATTTCAAGACTAGATCTAATGAAGTAGGACGAGTCACAGTGAACTTACATCAGAAGCGTTGGAGATCAATTCTCGTAGGAAAATGTCTTTGTTACTATATAAGGAATTGATAATGATGTCCATGAGACGAGACACCTCGGCTTGGAACTCAAATTTCTCCGCGCTGCTGCGAAGAGATCTCTTCGAGATAGACTCCGACTCCCTGCAACCACAATTCGATGGAAAATACGTCATAAACTTTCCTAAACAGGGCGAATCTATGGTGAACGTGTGTATCAACAGGATTAGATATTCACGAACCTCTTGACAACATCAGAATCAGTAGAGAGACCATGTGGAACGGCCCCGATTTTTTCCTCAACCTTCGGTGGATCTACAACCTCGTCAGCGTCACCATCGGCCTTGGCATGAAATCTAGGACCTAAACACCCAAAAACGAGAGAAACATAATGAAAAAATATCAACACAAATTTCACAGTCCAAAAAGAGCTCAAATCTCGTCCAAATTTCTTCCCGAGCCTCAGAAATGAAATCCTCAAACATCGATAATAACATAATGCAAGAAACATTCGATGCGCATTTCAACAAACAAATCAAAATGGCTCAAATAAGAATCGAAATCACACCTTGATCCGGTACGAGAGAGAGAAAACAAAGAAGGAGAAGAGCAGAAGCAATCGTCCACTTCCTCATGGTTCTTGCAAACCTTCCAGCAGCTACTTCGATCACTGATCTGGTTTCTTGACGAGCTAGCGGTATTTATATAGGTCTATTGATCTACGTTGCCAGCTTGGCGAATCGAACGGTAGATATTTCTAGAATGAAACGTGGCGAAGTGTTATTGGACCATATTTGTTTGCTTGACGTGGCCAAATTTCCAATACTGACCCCCACGGATGACCTGAGAAGTGAGAAGTGGAAGTCTTCTTAACGATCTTTAACAGGCTATGCTAAGCTGACGTGGAGAATCTGACGGCTGTGACTGCTCTGTTTACACGTGGCTGAATGTTATTGGGTTTATTTTTTGTTCTTGACGTGGTAACACGGTGTTCCCCGAAGGATACGTTGGGAATTTGCCATTTTTTTAAGAAGATTTTTTCAAACCATTTTTAAAAATTAAAAAAAAAAAACAAAAAACTTTTAAAAAGTTCAATTTAAATATATCCATTAATTATTAAGGTTTTTTTTTTTTTTTTTGGCTTTTATATTATATTATTTATTATTATATATTTTTTTTATGATAATAGTGTTCGCTCTTAGAATAATTAGGTAATGTGGTCATGTCGTATGAGATAAATATTGGCATGGGGTGTGAGATCCTGAGTCGGGGAGAGAGGAATGAAACATTTATTATAAGAATGTGAAAACTCTCCCTTAATATACACGTTTTAAAATCGTGAGGTTGACGATGGTACGTAACAAGGCGAAATGGACAGTATCTACTAGCGATGGTTTTGGTTGTTACAAATGGTATAAGAGCTAGACACGGGGCGGTGTGTTAGGAAGGATACTTGTAACGACCCAAATCCATCACTAGCAGATATTGTTCTCTTTGGGCTTTCCCTGTCGGGCTTCCGCTTTAAAACGCTTTTGTTAAGGGAAGGTTTCCACACCCTTATAAACCCCTTAGTGATTTGTTATTCTTCCCAACCAATGTGGAACATCACACAATACTGGCCCTTAAGGGGTTGCCTTTTGAGATTCGTGTGGAAACATCTTCTTAATAGACGAGAGGAGAATAAAATATTCATTAATAAATGTCTAAAAACCCCTTTCTAGTGGACGCGTTTTAAAACTATGAGACTAACAACGATAAGCAACAGAAAGCGGACAATATCTACTAGCTATCACAAATCTCAAACGTCATCTATTTAAAATTTGAAATCACGTAATCACATTAAAAAAATTATTCAAACTCGTTCTTCCATTCTCAAAATTTAAAATATTAAACAATACAAATTTATATTTTATTTTGATATTAAAATTTTAGGAGATGATTAAATTATTATATGAAATTAATTAAAAAAAAAAAGAACTAAAACATATAATAAATTGTCACCGTTAAAATAAGTTTTGCAATAAAAATGTTTTATAAAACTATAGATAAATGGATAATTACGATAGACAAAGGTAATAAATATTTATTTAGAAGTAGATTTTGTGGTAAATAAGCCATTTTAAAAGCTGAGCAATTCCCGCCAATGTTCGAAGACGACGGCGAGGCGATCAATCGTAATCGGAAGATGGAGAACGGCAGTCCAGTGCAGTGTCCGAACACGGTGACGGTTCGGAGAAACCCTCCCCGGAGAGCAAGAGCTACTCCGGCCGCCAAAGCAGCCGAATCGAATCCTCCAGCCGCCATTTCTTCATTTCCACTTCAAGAAATTCTTGCGATGGAAGTCCCTCAAAACCCTAAGGACAATTCCTCATCGTCGTCATCGTCCGTTCAAACTCCTCTCTCTGAAAACCTAAAAGTATACCTCAGAGTTCGACCTTTGCAGCTGAAGAATTTGAAGAAATCCAGAAATGCTGATGATCAAAACTCGAGGTCTGGACATGTATGGCCGCAGAACCCTCAGAAGAAGAAAGTGACGAAGGAAAAGAACGTTAAGAAGAAGGGCTGTGATGCTTGTGTAACGATTAATGATGATCACTCAGTAACAGTCTGTCCGCCCATGACTTTGCAAGAGTCTAGGCGGAGTAAGTCTGAGGTTTATGAAGGATTTTCTCATGTGTTTTCTACGGAATCGTCTCAGGTAAATTACGAGATAGATTTTGTTTGTTCATTTTTTTTATGGATGTTTTTGGCTATTTGATGGCGAATTGAATCCATCATTGTTGACAGGGTGAGGTGTATGGAAAAATGGTTAGTCCTTTAGTGGAGGATTTTCTGAAGGGAAAAAGTGGGATGCTGACTGCACTCGGTCCTAGCGGCTCGGGTAAGACCCATACCATTTTTGGGAGTCCAAGAGATCCTGGTATGGTTCCTCTGGCTCTTCAACATATTTTCCGGACAGAGTCGAGTGATTCTCAACCCTTAAGGTATCTTGTGTTTGTAATTCCCTTTCAGTTTTGTTGGACTATCCCGTGTGTACTAAATACCTGTTCCAATATCATGCTCTGTGTCTTACTCTTATCCGTCTTTGAACTTCCGAGGCAGAAGAGAATTGTATTGTAAGAAACTGTGAGTGAAGTGATATAATTCATACAAAGAGCATGTTTGAATACTGAATGACAGTGCTGTGATTTTTTGCAGATCATATTATTTATCAATCTTTGAAATATACTCAGAAAAAGGTAAAGGAGAAAAGATGTATGATCTTTCAGCTGATGGGGGCGAATTAACTATGCAGCAGTATACTATAAAGGGCCTTAAGGAGGTATCCGAGCGATATCTGTTTTATATGCAACTCTTGTTACTTTTTGTTGGTTATGCGTACTGCATGCTCCTGTTGTATTATCTATTAAGAAGGTTAGTTGTGATTGTACATCAAGGAAAGTTGATGAATCCCCGTATTTTTGTGAAGGTTTTTATTTCCAAGGCTGGAGAAGCTGAATCATTAGTGGCTTGTGCAATGACTAAACGTGCCACTGCAATAACGAATGCAAATAGCACATCAAGGTGCTATGACTTATCTTTTGGTTCTTTCTTGAAGAAAGCATTGTGTATGGCTGTATGCACGATATCTTAATAATTCTTTTTAATTTAGTCAATAATTGTTTAGTTGGGAAATGAAACCATATTTATGGTGGTAACGCTTGGCATTTCCGAAGACCATGAATTAAGGAGGGACTTTATTCTGTGAGGCGATTGGTTGTGTTTGCTAGTTTTAGATGAGGGAATTTAATGGCTTTCAAAATCCTGGCTTGTGTTTCTTCTATCAGATTTTATGGACTGCAGTTGAAATTTTAGAGCTCGTACGACAAGATTGGTTTTAAAATAGTTTTCCATTTTTGTTTTGAAATTAGTTTTCTTTTTTTGTTTCTAAAATTGTATGAGTGGATGGTTTATAAAGATTAGCGTTATCATGCAAATTGAAGTCATTCCTGACAAATCTACAATTCTGAATTTCTTTTTAGAACTCATGTTCAACAAAAACCACTTTTAAAAAATGCATATCCAAACATGGCCTACATGAGTGTAGCTGAATGGTCAAAACATTCTCTCTTGAGGTTGGATATTCGAGTCCCCATACCTACATTTGTCATTCTAAATAAGTGGTTCAAAAAAAGTTCTCAAACAAGTGTTCAGTAACTGAAACAAATTGAGACTCGAGCCATCAACACACATGCATCACTGCATTTTGTTGTAAGGAAAATTAGATGAAGCTATATGTCTACACTTTTAATTACCTTGAAAATATGTTCTTATGATTTTGTGTTTATCCTTGCAGCCGGTCACAGTGCATCATTAATATCCGTAGAGTTGCTAACCAAGATGAAGTTGAGGATACATTGAACTGTGCCGTCTTGACCATTGCTGATCTCGCTGGAGCTGAACGAGAAAAAAGAACGGGGAATCAGGTTCTATTTTCTGTTGGTTTTTCTGGATTAAGGTTCTGCCGTCCATCTAGAATTTAATAATTATTGTCATACTTTCATTCAATGTTGTAATTGTGGAATTTAGTTGTCAAAATACAATAGATACGAGTCTAGTCTTTGTATATGATGATTCTTGAAACAAAGAATGATAATGTGTTATTTCAAAATGAATAAAAATGGATGATTCTTGTTAGAATGATATATTCATGAAATAAAATGTTTCTGGTTAGAATAAAACAAAATTATTATTCATGAAATACTCGTGTTCTTCTAGCCGTCTTGTCTGTATATTAAAAAGTTGAGAAGTAGTAGAGGGTGATGATAGAACCTCAACGATCAACCTTTCCTCCTACCACCTTTCTTTTGCAGGGGACAAGATTACTTGAAGCTAACTTCATCAACAATACATCAATGGTTTTTGGCTTGTGCCTAAGAGTATGTCCTTTACTCATGTGAATCCGTGATCATGTTCTTTTGAAAAGTATTTTTTATTTTCTATATTTAATGAGTTCAAATGCGTCCCTCTTGGGTTGGCTGGTTGCATTAAAACGTGTCACGAAAAAGTAAAGACTTTGATGGAAAGAATTCAAGCTCCATGTTGACCACCGATCTAGGATATTAACATTTTATGAGGTTCTTGATAGCTAAATGTTGTAGGGTCAAAAGAGTGAGAATAGTTAAGGTACAGTAAGCTAGCTTGACACCCACGAATGTCACAAGGAAAAAAGGAAGTTCAAAGAGGATGATACTATGTGAACTTATTGAGGTTATGCATTTTGAGTTTTTTAGGATGTATGAGAATGAAGGATACTTATAAGTGTTGATGCATACATCTTTTGAAGTTTGGGAATTAGGAATAACCGTGGCTATTTTGTAAGATTTGTTTGTGAAAATTATATTAATGTTTGAGAGCATTCAATAATTATGTTTATTTTGTAGGATTTGTCAATGGAATGTAACAAAATCCTTTGGACTTATGATGTTTGAAATCAGTTATTTGAGGAGATTGATTTTGGCTTGTTTAGGCAGAGGGGTTGTAGAGAGATGGTTGAGAAGTGCCTTCTCCATCGTGAGAGAGGAAAGTTTTTGTGGCAAGTGGGGGTGTGGACTATCTTGTAGGAGTTTTGGAGAGAGAGATGATAGAATTTTTAGAGGGCCTGAGAGGTTGCCAGGTGATGTTTGGTCTCTAGTTATATGCTTTGTTTCTCTTTAGGCTTTGATGCCAAAACATTTTTATAATTATCCGTTACGTTTGATTTTACTTGATGAGAGGTCATTCTTTTAGTTGCCTCCCTCTTTTGTGGGTTCTCTTTTTGTATGCTCTTGTACTCTTTCATCTTTTTTCTACTAAAAGCTTGGTTCTAGATAAAAATAAAAAGAAAAGAAAAGAAAAGCAAGGAATCAACTGGTGGGTTATATGTTTGTGGCATGGGGTTTTGAGATCTTCACAATTTGGAAGTGCTTTTACCCCCTGTGTCTAACCCTTGGAGTTCATCCGTCATTTTTCTTCCGAACAATAGAAGATGATGCGCATTTCATTGAATGACAATTCACTGGTGTTTTCCATTCTGATTTTCTCTCTGGTTTTTTGGCCTGTTTCCTTGTTTCACTATTTTTACATTTTTTTAAACTGACAGTGTGTCACTTTTTCATTTTTAGTCATTGTTTGAACACCAAAGGAATCCAAAGAAGCCACTGCAAAAGCATTTCCACAACTCTTTGGTAATGTTCCAATTCTTAATTTTAAACTTTTGTTCTCACTTTATTGCAAAATGAAGATTGCTATTTGTCCTAATGTTTATCTTGCCAAGCATAATCGACAAAGTTTCTTTCATCTCCACACAGTTGACCAAGTACCTTCGAGATTACCTGGAAGGAAAGAAGCGAATGACCTTGGTATTCTGTTCTTATTTCATTATTTCATTTGTGGAACAGCTGTACATGCAAGATCTTAAACTGTTCATATTTGCATCTTTATTTAGATTAATAGACACTCTTAATTTTGTTGGGGATTGTTAAGGTTATTGATCCCTTGTCAAAAACTAATGTGTGTCCTTAATGAAGTGCGAGCCTCTTTATTTCTTTAACCAGTTTATCCTTTTTTTGTTACTTTTTTTTTGTGCGTGTAGATGTTAACTGTGAAAGCAGGAGAAGAAGATTATCTTGATACAACCTACCTTCTCAGACAAGCTTCACCTTATATGAAAATCAAGTTATTTAACTTTATGCTATTTATTCGAATTAAGAACTTCTTTTACATGTGATCCTGGATTGATATCTTGTTTCTTCAGGTTCAACAATGTTGTGGAACCATCAAACATCAACAAGAGACAATTGCAAACGTTATTTACATTTGAGGAGCAGAAAAGAACAAAATATAGTGTTCCTGAAGCTTGCTCGGTAATTTCTTTGTCTTTTTGGGATGCTGAGGTTGTCTTATATGCCTCATTATTTCTTGATACCACTTTCTTTTGTTGGTCTTTTCCCTTTTTTTAGTTCTTTAGTGACTGTCGTTCAAAATGTTTGTTGTCTCCATCCTTTGACGTTCTATAATTTTAAGAGACAATGAAAAAAATGAGAAAATTTTTAAGGTTAGGAATAAATGGGATGAATTAACGATGAGTTGGTTTTGTTCTTTGTCATCTACCGCACATTTTCAATTTTGCAATAGCTTGTTTGGTTCATATCTTAATTATTGAATATTAATTTTAATGATCAACTATGTTTGCTTTCAGACTGAAGGAAAGGGACATCAAGAGGAAGGCCCCCTTCCTCATGAAGGTAGTTTAGTTTATAGCTTTGTATGTACTTTTATTTCCATTTTTTCTCTCTAATTTGTGTTAGTTATCTGATTTGTTTTAGAGCTGCTGGTTTGTTCATCCTATTACGTGTCTTTATTACTTTCAACCTTTTTTTCCTCAATAATATCAGAGCCTCTAGTTAAAACCGACTGTAAAGCCACGAAGCCTAGCCATTCAAAAATGGCTGAAAGAAATCATTTGATCATGCAAAACTTTGCCAAAGCCATATGGCAAGTCTTGAAGCAGTATAGAGATAAACTAAAGGTAATCATTTGCAGATATTTAACTTGCTTCTGTCTTCATTGTTGCACTGTTTTTGAACATTTGCTTTATATGGAAAACATTAATTTGATATTAATTGAATGTAATTAAAAAAAATTGTTTTGATGTTGGATAAGAGTGCAGAGAATGAAAATCAAAATCTTCGAGAAGAAATTAAGAATGAAAAAATCAGATATTTTGAGCTGGAAAAGCAATGGAAAAATTCAAGATGTAGTACTTGCTCCAACTCCAAGGAAGATTATGCTGAAGCTGCATCAATCAAAGTAGTTACCAGTTTTGAGTCAAGAAGTGGTTTGGACGAGCACAGATTCAATGGTGTTCATGAGGTGTGCTTGCAGATTTTCTTTCCCTCTAGCTCTTTTAGTATATTAAATGACATGATGACCATGGCTTGTTGATTTATTTCAGCTGGCAGTGTAACAGATATTTAATTTAAATTATGCTCAGAAAAGCTAATTGATTATGACTATGATTCTATGCTCAGACAAATACGAACTCTTTCATCAAAGTGAAGGAATCCGATGGTTCCTCTCCCTGTGAAGACATAAATGTACGTACACTATTTTGTATCTATTTTGTTCTCTCTTTTGCAATTTCAGATTCGACCATAGTTACTTATTGGATCTTAACTTCATCAAACCTAAAATGAAGATTTTATTTTTCTTTTGTTGTCTACCCTTGCAAATTAGTTCTTGAAATTCACAAATTGAGACTTTGGGATCGCTGTACATTTTCAATAATCTGGCAAGTATGATTTTGATTGAAATTAATTATTACACGAAGTAAATTAGTGTTTGTTAAATTTTAAATTTAAACCTTAAAAAAGTGTTACAATGTTCGGAAAATAAATACTAAATTGTTGTGGTTTAGATATAATGACCAACGTAGGTATATTATCTGAATTATTCTTATATTGATATTTAATACTAATTTATTATAAGATAATTGTTTACAGATTTTTATAATTTAAATTCCAAGTGGTTTTGTTTAACCTAAATTATTTGATAAAAGTTTAGAGAGAATGATAGCGATAAAAATTTCCATCGACCAAAAAATTTTCATTTTAGGGAGGACAGAATGGAAATTTTTAAAAATTTGTTAGAGAAAATGACTGTTAGGTACATGAATTTGGGCATATGAGTAAATTGAAAAGTGATTTTAGAAAAATTAAAAAAAATCAATTTTACCAGACATCCCTGATAGTTAAAATTCTCTCATAATTGCTTTTGATCCCTCCAACAACAATTCCAAACAGACCTTCAGTCTTTTGACTTCTCTAATTTTGGCAAAGTTGAGTTGAGTAATATTATAGACCCTGTGACATTTAGGGAGTACAACGTCTTCAATATGTGAATCTAAGGCTTAAGGAGTCCATGACTATTTGGATGGTGTTGGGGGCCTTTACCCTTGCACTCTTAAGATTTCTTAGTGTAGATGGCATCACAGGATATCGATTTTATCTCAAGTCTTGCAGCTTCTTTGAATTCAAATGGGCAATGGGTTAAACTTGTTGATCATTGATTGTATGATTCTACTGGACTGGATGTGTGTATGAACTGTATTTCATTAATGGTTGATATTACATTATGTGGAAAGATTTCTGCTCCAGATCATTTGGTGAGAAACTTGAAACCCACGAGGTGCTTCATGCTTGATATTCACAATTGCATTATATGGAAAATTTTATTTTTCTTTTTCATGTTATCCAGAATTTCTCAGAACCTGGTGAAGTTGAAGAGGCACATATAAACCGTGTAGACGAGACCACTCCTAGGAATGGATGCAAGACGGTGAAAAAATTTATGTACGAGGAGGCCGATGATTGTTGCCTAACAAAAAACTCAACTGGTAATATAGTTTTGCATGTTATTTTTAGCACGTACATATTTAGAATGACTTTCCAAGTACCGCTCAAAAACTCTTTTTTATGTTATTTGAAAAGTCAGTTCAAACAGGTTCTAGTCTCTAACAGACCCGTTGAACTATGAATATTGCTAAAATGTGGGTAGCTAAAACTTTTAGTTTCGGGCATTATTTTTGTATGTGTATAGTGATTGGACGTTGGAAACCTTTAATGTTATTGTCTCTATTTTCTCCTCTTTTAGTTCCAACTGATAGACTTGTTATTTGGGATTCAGCCTTTGGCACCCTGCAGTCACGTATCTTGGTGAAGTATGACAGCTGTTCATCAGTAGAGCTGGACAAGTTCAGTGAGCAAGATGAGGTTAAAATTTCTTTTATGTCTATTGCGTTGAATTACTGTGTTTCATGTTCATGTATTAGACTGTACAACATGTTAGGTGGTTCGGTATTCCCAATTTCTCACCAACTTGGTAAACTTCACTGCTGGAGGATGAAAAACGGAAAATTATGACCTTGAATTAGGTGTATTGTTAATATTTTGCAATATGACTACATTTTTAGTGAGCTTGAACTTTATGTTGATTTGTGCACAAATTTTTATATGCCCTGTATCGCGTGTAAACTAAAATTAGATAAACTTATTATCAACCAAAAAGAATGAAACCCTTGTGAGTTGACCTAGTAGTCATAAGAGCTTTGAAAAAAATAAGATATGGGTTCATTACACAAGTTTCAGCTTTCTTCGAACACTAAATACCATCGGGAGAGGCGAAAGTCGCTTTGGGGTAGTTTCTCCTGGTGCCAAAAATAGTGTTGACAATATTGTCAGCAAGTCGTTATGTTAACCAAGTGTAGTAGGGTTAGACGGATGTTCGGTGAGATTAATCGAGATCTGCTCAAGCAGGCCCAGACAATGGATGTCCGGTGAGATTAATCGAGATATACTCAAGCAGACCCAAGCAATCACTCATTAGGAAAAAAAAAAAAAAAAAAATAGAGAGAGAGAGAGAGAATGCTTTAGAGAAATAGGCAAAGCACCAATATGTTTGAATGAGTTTGTCAAATTTTAAGGAGCCTCACGAGTGGATATCAGTGTGGTCACTTTATATTTACTATTTGTTCTTTAGGTGGCCTTGAGCCTTGCTTGCAAATTAGTTCATATTAACCCTACCTGCCTTTCAGTGACTTACCTTGTGTGTCTTGCAGAATATGAATGTCGTCAGGATGAGTACAGTTTGAAGTAATAATTGATAGGCCAATGAAGTTGGAAAATTTCAACTGCTTCTATTATTCATTTTGAACTACTTAGTTCATTCTTATCTTATTTACAAAGGTCATAACCAGTAATTATTTAGGATTGTTAACCGTATGAATAAGCAAGTATCAAGTTTAGATAATTTTGTGGTTTGTAAAATATGTTAAAGTATCATATATAATCTTTGATTTTGCTTTTGTTTTTTTTTTTCTCCAAAAACATTTGTGACAATGATCTGTGTTTTCTTCTGTTTTAATTACTGGATGTTTTAGGAATCTACCTCACCCGAATCCCCTTCACAAGAAATGTCGTTTATTCACTGCGATGCTCATGAGTGTGAAACTCAATCTGTACTTGATACTCCATTATACCAGCCAACTTCGGAGAAGTCTGAAAGGTCAGTTGCTGTGTTTTCTTTGACACACTGGTTAACTGCTAATTTCTTTTGTTCAAGTTGAACGACCACAACATATTACATAGAAACTTTTTTTATCCAGTTATATAACTTATATATCTGAACCTTGCTTCATGTATATTGCACAGGGATATAAGTGCTTTGAATGAAGACAAGGAATTCTTAGCGGTATCTTTCTGTTAGATCTCTTTGACAGCATTTTAAGAAGTATCTATACCTTCAACTTACCTGAATATTGTCTTTGGCTGAGTTTGTATTGAAATATGGTTACTAGACTTGATCCATGTGGCTATTAATTAAATGGACTATGTTTATCAGAAGTTGAATTCAAAGTTTTTCTCTTGTACAGAATTTTATCTAATAGTTTTCGTTGATGTAACAGTTGTTAATTTTTAATTTTCATTTTAGAAACTTTCGGATTCTCGACATCTACCTCCCACCGAGGATTTTGCATCTTCTCAAGAACAAAAGCACAACATTGATGTGCATTGCAGTGAGCTTAGAGCTGACATCTCAAGCAAACTAGAGAAACCAAAAAGGTTAGGGTAGTAGGTGCATCTGGTGTCTAATATATTTTTTACTTCTGATCTGTCAACTTAATCTTTCATTTGGCGTTAACATTCGTTGCACTTGTTCACTTGATGTAGTTGCATCTTTTCTCTGCTATCTCTTATCATCTTTTTTCTGATATTTCAGGAGACTTTTGCCCGCGTCATCCACATTACTAAGGGATTTCAGCAATATGCATGTCGAGGATGATATTGAGGTGTCAAAGGTCTGTCCTGGTCTGTGTGTGCATACTTGCATGCTTACCGAGTATTTATTATTATTTAGGGGGTTATTGATCAGTAATTAATGAAGATCTTTGATCTTACCATGTTAACGATCAAATTTTGACTTTAATTGATGGGAATTAACACGCTACTACAGAACTTTTTGGATCCTGCTATCATTCAATCTTAGTGATAGAAAATACAGAGTGGAAAATTCTTATATGACTAATATTTCTGCAACCATTTTCTAGTTTCTTGTATTGTTTGGTAAATGGAATCCTAAGCTAGTCACATTTCTTTTTGCTTATGAGCAGGCAAACAGAAATGGGAAAAAATCAGCTAAGGGTGAAAAAATTAGAACACAGGGTAACATCTCCCTCATGCGCATGCTGAAGGGAAATCACCTATTCTAGTAAGTCCACTTCCATTGAAATTAAACATTGTATAGTTTGTTCGAAGTAGAAAATTGCATCTGAACTCCTTGCTCTGTGTATCCATTTGCGGTTTCTTGGCTTGGGGTTGTAGTTCTTTTGCTCCCTTATTTCCTTACCAACTCTTGTGTGCTTTCATTGTTGTACATCTGGTGCCTAGTCTGGCTACTTTTCAATTTCAATGTCTTTTTAATTTCTTCTTTGTCGGTTATTCTTTATTCTCTGGCTCAACATTATATTAAATTCCACAAGAAAAAGAATCACTTGAGCTAAGTTGGTTATGGTATGAATGCATTCTTACAAGTTGGTTATAGTGTGAACACATCTAATGAAAAGATGCAGTGTTCATTTCAAAAGAACTTTTTAGGTTACGTTTTCTTGATAAAGATGAAATTAATTAAGCCACATAAAGGTCTAAAGCTACCACTAAAGGTAGGGTAGGGAGATCTATATTAAAATTAGCCCTCAAGCAAACAGTGTTTGCATTTCTCAAACTAAGACATAATATATCAAATTAAGATGTAAAGCGTCTAATATCTTGGCTACTTAAGTTAACATCCGAGAGGTTTGGAGAGGCTAGATCATCAAATCGTTTTCGAAGTAGAAAACAATTCATCCATCTCAAATGGCATCCTCTTTTGATAGAATTCTTGTGTAGTTTAGTTTTTTATGCATTGCTTGGTTAGAGCTTTGGAAACTGCAAGAGTTTGATGAAGGTTGATTCTTGCTTTGGAAACTGCAAGAGTTTGATGAAGGTTGATTCTTTCTTCTTTGTATCAAACCCTTGCAACCATATTTAACTTGTCGGCAATGTCTATGGAAAGACCTAGCTTAGAACAATCACCTCTAAAATGTGTCTTAACATGTTTAAGATGGCTACAAAGTAATTTGCCAAGTGCCATTATGGAATATGTTGTGCGCTGTAAGGCTCAAGCTCACTGCTAGCAGATATTGTCCTCTTTGGGGTTTCTCTGAAGGTATTTAAAACGCATCTGCTAGGAAAAGGTTTTCACACCCTTATAAAAAAATGTTTAGTTCTCTTCCCCTACGATGTGGGAACTACTCTCTCGCAAAGAGCCTTCCTTCTATTATTTCATGCGACAGGTGCATAGAGGTTGGAGCTTTGACCCTCATAATCCACCTTCTTTCGGGGCCCAACATCCTTATTGGCACTCGTTCCCTTCTCCAATCGATGTGGGAAACCTCTTCCTTCAGTCGCGTTTTAAAAACCTTGAGAAGAAACTCACAAGAGGACAATATCTGCTAGCAGTGGCTTGGGCTTGGGCTGTTACATATAATATCTTTCCCTCCAAATATATCTTGTTAGAGCCACAAGCCTACTAAAGCCTTTGGAAAAAATTGTTTGGTCATAGTGATTGATTGTTTTAGCATAGCCTTAGAATTGAAGATACCATTTTAAAGAGGTTTGTTGTTTAATAATTGATTCTTCTGAGAAACAAGAGGGTTGTTATTTAAATGTGGTTATATAATTCATCAATTGGTTGGTGGTTTAGATTAGAGTGACTTTCTATCAAACTCCAGAAGTTCATCCAACTCAACAAGTTGAAATGGATGGCTAGTTGGGTGTTAGCTCAAGAACTAATGCAACCCAACGCTCACTTTCTCCCAGCCTACTACTACCCCACGTCAGGAGTCCATTTGCAGAAAGGTATGGTTCTCCTGAACTCCAAATTTGAGAGTTGTAATATTGAGATTCTTAAAACTGAATCGAATAGACTTTTGTTAGCTAAATCGATCAGAATGGTTGTGATTTGATTGGTTTTGATTGATTTTTTGTCCATTTTAACTCATTCTCTTGAGTTTATGATTCTTGGATGCTTGAATTACAAATAAAACTAATAGAAGTGGTTTTTAGTGCCATGTCAATTTATGTTTGTAAATGAGTGAAAAAAACAAACACAATATTGAAGATGATATCAATATATTCATAAATTCTTAAGAAACTGTTTGAATTGTTCACTAGTCTATCAAACTACCATGCTTAAAAGTTCAATAGTTGAATTTGTAATTTAACCCTAAGATTATCATGAGAGGATCTGATCATCGCCTTTTGTATTTCTATATTTTGGAGGCTCTCCTTATTGGTCGATAATCTATTCTTTCTTCTCCATTAATGTTTTTGATGTTTTTATCGTCTATCATTTGGATCATCAAAATCGACTTATAAATGTTATTTACTTTCTTTAGCCTCAAGAATAAATTACTCGAGCGGATAGATATCATTGGTCTTAGTAACTTTATTATCCTTTTATGCATTTACAAGAGATAGAAAATGCCTTTTGTGAGTCTGAATCATGCAATGAACTCTTAAATTTTCCTTTTTGAAGATAACTCGGTCATAGCAATTGGCCCATTTTAATCTTCATCGTAAAGAACAACGATGACTGAATCATAAAAAATAAAAAGGGAAAAAAAACCCATAATTGCCTTTTCTCGTTGATGCCTAAATCATCAAAACTACCAAGCTTCAGAGTCCAGCAAAGCGCCCTTCGCCTTCGCTACCACATCTCTTGTGGAACAACTTAAATAAATATATTACTAACAGATATTGCCTTCTTTTTCGATGATTTTTTTTTGAGTTCCTCCTCAAAGTTAAAATGTGTATGCTTGGGATAGATTCACTCTTATAAAAAAGAAATATTTTGTTGTTCTGTCCAATTGACGTGAGATCTCACAATCTACCCTTTGAAGGCCAGTGTCTTTGTTGGCACTCGTTCTCCTCTCCAATCGACGTGGGATCTCACCCAAGCCCACCGTTAACAAATATTGTCCTCTTTAAGTTTTTCTCAAGATTTTTAAAATGTGTTTATTAGGAAGAGGTCCACACCTTTATAAAAAAATGTTTTGCTTTCCTTCCTATCGGATGTAGTATTTCACAATTTACCCATTTCAGAGCCCAACGTTCTGGTTGACACTCATTCACCAACCACTTTGTCATTTGCATTCAAAGTCGAGCAACCACTTTGTAATTTGCAGATCAAAAAGGCTGTTATTCCTTTCTAATTAACTAATCAATTTCCTTTTTTTTTTTTTTTTTTCCAATGAAATATATAATCAGAGAATAGTACTTATGAAGTGGCTTGAAAACATGGGTTTCCTGTTTAAAAAAAAAAAAGTGGCTTTAAAATCAAGAAATTGTGAATGGAGAAACAGTTAGATAAAAGCTTGAGTAATCCTAATTTAGGATCCCGTTTTAATTAGTTGATTGAATATCTTCATTTTACTATTTGATAAAACACGTCGAATTACCAACTTTTTAGGTGGCCATTTTGAAGGAAGTGGCACAGATAGGGACAGATGTAGTTGGCCACTCTCGGGCCATTTTGCACAACCACAGATGTAGTTGGCCCGAACAGATAGGCAAGATGTAGTTGGCCACTCTCGAGCAGAGCCATTTTAAGATAAGTTAATTATTTAAATCGGTTGGTAAAGAAAACATCACCTCTTTTTAAGCAAAGTCAACCGGCAATTCTCTATGTTATTTTTAAGCATTTTTATTTTTTTCTCTCTCCTTTATTTTTACGCATTTTTATTTTTCATCCTACCAACTTTCGTCTCTCCTCCCCAAACGATTTCCTCTCACACCAACTGTGAAAAGGGATTTCAGGTTTCAAAAAACAACATCCCTCTAAGAATTTAAGAACTAAATTTGGATAATCTCAGCAAAATTAAACAAATCTAATGAAAAGAAGAAGAAGAAACAACGTTGAATTCAAAGTTGAAGACATAAAAACCATTGTTTTTGATGATCCGCCGCCGGTGATGAAGTCCGGCAGCCATGAACCGTTGAATACCGATGGCCCTTCTCTACTTGATGCGTCTCTTTCTGGTTTTTGGCTAAAAGAACAAAATAATAATAACAAATAAATAAATTCTAAAATAAAATTTATAATATTGGCTTAATTTTTAATAAATATGTAATGAATTTCAAATAACAAAATAAAAAATTATTAATTTTAATTTTCAAAACAAAAAAACTAAAATTTTATTTATGAGAATTTATTCAAAAAGGCTTGCACATGTGATTCATGATTTATTTAATAATTAATTCAAGCGATTTTTAAATTGTGTCACGTTCATCGCTCGTGTAGGATTGTTATCATGTTAGTGTGACGGTTTTCTCGAATAATTTCTCGGGAGCTCGAGTTTTTAGAGAGACAAAAAATGGGGTGTACCTGGTTGAGGAAGGGCAGAATGTAATGGTGTAGTCAGCACCACTGCAAGTAAAAGTGCTTGTTGCATCATCAAAGGCATAGCTATATGATTTGGGGCAAGCTGATTTGAAAATTTCCGAGTACACCGACGGCTTACAGGCGGCGGGTGAATTATACGCGCCGCTACAGCAATATTCCGGGTTCCCAAACGCCTCACACGCACTCTTGCACGCCTTCCCATCGCCGGCACGCAGCTCCACAGGGCAACGCCGGTTCAAATCCGCCGCACACCCAGTCAACTGACACACGCCGTTACCGTCGGTGGCCTCAATGACCATCGGAATGTTGTAGCCGTCAACCAAGCTGACGTCATAAAAGTCCTGCGCGCCGGCACTAGCGCCGATTGTGAACTCAGCCAGAGTAGCCGGCGGCGTTGCTCCGGCGCCATTGCATTCCATTTGATTTGATCCACAGTCAGCAGTACGGCAGCTTCCCTGACTGGTGGCTGGGTCGAACAAACAGCCGGTCCGACCCCAGAATCTGCCGGACCACCCTGGAGGCGCGTGGAGTGAACGCGCCGCCCCCGGAGAAAGCTCGAATCCAGTAAATTCCAATTGTGTGTTGCCGAGAATTCCCGGCCAAACAGTGTAATCGCATCTGTTTATAAGTGTAAATCGAGCTCCAGAAACGCCTTTGAACAAAAACCCACAAAAAATTAATAATAAAGATCATGAAATTGATCATAAGAACAAGAAAATGCAGGCATTACCTGTAAAGAAGATGATCAAAAGAAGAGAGAGAAACAAAAGAGAAGGAGAGAGAAAATGGGTTTGAATAAATCCCATTGAGAAAGAACAACAGGATCATCAATGGAAGAATCTCTGCATTTCTGTATATAACAGAGGAATTTCAACAGAGGAGAAGCTTTTATTTATTTTTTATTTTATTTTATTTTATTAAGATTTTCCTAAAGTATTTTTTTTTATTCCTTTGAAAATGTTCTTTTTTTTCCATTTTTGGATGTGATAAATTTTAATAAAATATTAAAAGATTTTGTTGGTGGGGATTAAGATTTTTAAGGATAGTTTTAACATAAAAATAATTTTTATGAGTTTTGTTTTTGGTAATTTCATATTAAAAAAAAAATACTCGTTTTGTATCATTTAGTTAATAATTGATAGGATTCCGAGCTCTCGTGAATTCTTTCTCTTTCGTGTTTACATGCTGCAGAGTTATGCTCGAGTGTAACGGCCCAGATCCATCGCCAGCAGATATTATTTTATTTGAACTTTTCTTTTCGAGTTTTTCCTCAAAGCTTTAAAACTTGCTAGGAGAAAGTTTCCACACACTTATAAATTGTGCTTTGTTCTCCTCCCCAACCAATATGGGACATCACAATCCACCCCCTTTCGGGGCCTAGCGTCCTCGCTGACACTCTTTCTTTCCTCTCATTAATGTAAGACTGCCCCAAATCCACCCATCTTCTGGGCCCAACGTCCTTACTGGCACACCGATTCGTGTCTACCCCCTTCGGGGAAGAGCGAGAAAGCTATCTTCTTTAGGGTTTCTCTTTCGAGTTTCTTTAAAATGCGTCAGCTAGGGTAAAGTTTACATACCCTTATAATTGGTGTTTTATTCTCCTCTCCAACCAATATGGGACATCACATCGAGTCATCAAATTTAAATTACATAAATACGAAAGATGTCAATCATAGAAGCAAAACTTTATACCAAAGCTAAAGTTTAAATAAAAACAATAAACATAAATCAATTTTAATTTATAATCATAAGCAAAAACACCATATAAATGTGATTAAAATGTCGATCTTCTCCAAATTTTTTTATAACCTAAATCAGGTTAAAAACATTCAATTTTTACACGTAAATATTTATTTATTTGTATTTTTTTTCATGAAATTATTATGAGTTTCGTAAGTAAATTTTTCCATTAATGAATAAAACTGGTAACTCTAACTTATTTTGAAGCAATTTTAAAAATAATAAAATTTAATATTATGAAAAATAAGGAAATGTATTGACGTAACGATTTAATTTTGGATAGAAAAAACACTGGACGATGAGACACAAAGATGGAATTCCTCGTCTCTCGGCATCTCCTAGTTCCACGTGTACTTTTTTTATGAGTTTTGGGGGAATTAGCCATCTTCAATTAAATTAAAGTAACTAAATTATATATATATATATATCTATATATATATAATATTTTAACATAGAAAATAAAATAAAATAATATTTCTCCTTTTTTTTATTTATATTCATTATGTAAATAAAAAAAAATAAAATTCTTAATGATTTTTTTAATTTTAAATCTCAAACTTTAAGAAAATAAAATAATAAATAAATATTCAAAATTGTAGTTTCAAATATTACATTTTAAAAAAATTTGAATATTTTACCTTTTAATTAAAGATATATATAATTTTTTAAATAGTTAATAATATATTTTAAAGTTGCAAAATTAGAAAAGTAATTTTTTATTTATGGTTTTGAAAAATAAAACATCAGAAGCCCACAAATGGACCAAAGGCCCAATAAGGCCCAACCTAAAGGAACATTGGGTTGGTGTGGTCTTAGTGGGCCTATCCAGTCTTCTCTTTTGAAATTGGGCCTGGTCAGGCCGTGCATTTAAGGGACTAAATATTTACAAATTTAAAATTATAAAAATTAAATTATTATGAATTAAAGTTAAAAAAATAATAATAATAAAATTGTTCATTAATGGGGTTATATATGGAAGCATCAAATATAGTATAATGGTAAATTACCTAAAATTTTATTATATCCTTATCACAATTACGTCTAAAAATGAATCCCCATTTCTTTTTCAATCCCTCCAAAAAAATCTAATTAAAAATCAACCCTTAAGTTTAGATAAATCCGATTTGTTGGCCCTCGCCGATTTATTTTTCCCTTTCCTCGCCGATTGGTCACGGTTTCTCATCGGCTGGAGTCTGGGCTTTTAACGTCATAGTCAATTACTCGTGGGCCCATAATAAGGCCCATCACGCCTGAACCCGAATATAGATGTGCGTTATGGTCTTGGTCTATCCTCGTCAGAAGTAGAACTGCCATAACCACCAAATCGCCACCGTACCAACCGCTGATATTCCGGCCATACGCGGCGGCGCTGCGTCGGTTTGGATCAGGGATCCGGCTTCGTACACCATACCAACATCGCCGCTGGAAGATCGGTTCGCCGTCGCCGGTGAGTTCTGTGCATCGGATGACTTTTGGCTGCATTTCCAAAAAAAATATATATATATATATATTAAAATTAATTTCATTGGCCTAAAAATATTATTGGGTTAAATTGGAAACGGTATATTCAAGCAACAAATAACGTTAAATGACATTAATGGCCTTTTTTGACTAATTTATTTTAAACTGCGTTCCAATTTTGCCCTCCTTGTCGACCACCACTAATGGCGGTTGACCACCCAAAATTGGCGCAAATCCCCTTCTCGTCCAATCAAATTTCCGATAATACCCTTTTATAATAGGCGTGGCAGAGAGCCACCGGAGATATAACCGTATATATTTGTGGTGGACGGAAATATCCTTCAACGAGGAAGGGGCTTTCGGTAAATTTACCTGGTGTTTGGCGATGGACAGAAGGTGATAACATAATCGGCACTGGCGCATGTGAAGGTACTCGTCTTGTCATCATACGCGTAGCTATAAGCGCGTGGGCACGCTTTCTTAAAGATCTGAGAGTACATCGACGGCTGACAAGTATCAGGTGTTTGGTACGCGCCTGTACAACAATACTGCGGTTGGTTGAAGGCACCACACGCGCTTTTACACGCGACGCTCTCTCTTCCGTCAGAGCTCATCACGCGCAGCTCTGAAGGACACGCATCGTTTAGATCCACAACGCAGCCGGTGCTAGTGCAATTGTCACCGGAGCCGCCTTGTGGCACTACCATCATTGGAAGATTGTAACCGTCCACCAGACTGACGTCGAAGAAATCAAGGCCGCCGGAGCCGTCGAGTGTAAATTCCGCCAGAGTGGCCGGAGGCATCGCTCCATTTCCGGCGCACTCAAGTTTGTCGGAGCCGCAATCGCCAGTACCGCAGGAGAATTTCCCGGTGGAATCTTCGGAACAGAGTGTTCGGCCCCAGAACCGGCCGCCCCAAGACGTCGGCGCAGGCAGCGTCTTGGATTCTCCAGACTGGAGAGAGAAACCAGTGGTGGAAAGCGGCGGAACGCCACCGTTCGACAGAATGCCCGGCCAGACTGTGAATCCACATTTGTTCACAAAAGTAAAGCTTGTCGGAAACCCGCCTGAAAATCCAAAAAACAGAGCACAACAAATCAACAACCCAACAGAAAAAAAAAACACCCAAATCCAGAATCAACGATCAATCAGAATCAACAAATCATCATAACACACCTGGCAGCACAAGCATCAGAATCGAAACACCCAACAGGAATGAAATTCGGGCCTCCATGGCGGCGAACCCAGAAATCTTAAAAGAAAGAAAAAACAGAGGCCGTCAGTCAGAGAAGATCGGAACGGGATCAAAGCTCTGAAGATGCTCCGGCGAAGGAGAGAAATTGCAGAGCAAAAATGGAGGAATGGAGAGGAAAGGGTATTTATATAAGAGGGAGAGGAGAGAGAGAATGGGTATGGGCAACGGCTAGAAGTGCTGGGAGAGTGGTGGGGCAGAGGAAGGATATTCTTTTTTGTTATGGCGGTTAAAGGAGATATCGGGAAGGGTGATAACGGAGCTTGTCAGAACGCAAGTGGAGAGGCAGAAGAGAGAGAAAGAAGAGAGAGATAACCGCCATTGTTGAGTTGAGAACAGAGAATTTAACCGACTCACTCTCCAATTTAATTGGACACAAATTATGTTCATTTCAAGTAATTTTTTAATAAATAATTTCTATTTTTTATATTTTTAATAAAAAAATAAAATATTTTAATAAATCTAATAATATTTTGCAATTTTTTTCTTTAAAAATAATTGAAAAAGATATTATTTGAATATATTAATAAAAATATAGAATAGGAAATATTATTATTAGGCAAATTATTGGAGAAATTGTCTGGAAAATATAATTTTTTGTAGTTATTAAATTAAAATTTTAGAAAATAGTGATTAACTCTTTAATTGCAAATTAAAAATCACTATATTTAATTAGCACCATATATATATATATATATATTTATTTATTTATTTATTTATTTATTTGTTTATTTAGAAAATTATGATAAGAACATGAAGAGCGAATCGGCTACTTGTTTCTTTTATAAGAAAATTAGATTTTAAATAATTATTATTTACTTAGACAACCGATATTCTCTCTCCAACTATTGTCCTATCTGTATTTATTTATTTATTCATTCAAAAAAAAAATGATGTGAATATTTCTTTTTACAAAATCTATATAAATAAAAAAAATTATATGTAAAAACTCGATCCTTATGATTTCGAATAGTTGGGCCGAGAGGATGATCAACCACATTGGGACTGAGACACAACCCAAACTCCTACGGGAAGCAGTAGTGGAGAATTTTCCGCAATGGGCGAAAGCCTAACAGAGCAATGTCGCGTGGAGATAGAAGACCTACGGGTCGTGAACATCTTTTCCCGGAGAAGAAGCAGTAACGATATATGGGGAATAAGCATTGACTAACTCTATGTCAGCAGTTGCAGTAATATAGAGGATGCAAGTGTTATCCAGAATGATTAGGCGTAAAGCGTTTGTAGGTGGCTTTTTAAGTTTGTTGTAAAATCTCAGGGCTCAACCCTGGAAAGGCGGTGGAAACTACCAAACTGGACTATGGTAGAGGTAGAGGAAATTTCCAGTGGAGCAGTGAAATGCGTAGAGATCGAAAAGAATTACTATTGTATCCTCGACAAGGGATTGAACACAATTCTATTGAAACAAGTTATTCGTTATAAAGGTTTCGAAAAAAAAAAATAGAAGCAATGATAGTGTTTGGTAGGAAATGGACAGCATTCATTAGTATCCATATTTGTCGAATTAATTAAGAGATTTGGAAGAATGATTAACCAACATCAAGTGGGTTATGCCTTGGATTATACACTAATTAACAACAAATCAACCTCGCCGTCCAGCCAACCCACTAGATTTCAATTGATTGTTACCCTAACTTTTAGTGTAGGTATATATTTATAATCATTATCTGCACTTACGGTTAAATGTATCCTAACATCCACCTTCATTTGGGAGGAGAACGAATTATAGAAACATTTTTCTAGCATACGCATTTTAAAGCCTTGAGGGAAAGTCCGAAAAGAAAAGTCGAAAGAGAACAATATCTGTTAGCAGTGGTTCTGAGCCGTTACAAATAATATCAAAGCCAGACACGGGGTGATGTGCCAACAAGGAAGTTATTCCAAAATGAGTAAACACAAAGCGGTAGGTCAGAAGGGGTGAATTTGACAAAGTCCCACATCGGTTGGAGAAAGAACGAGGGTCAGCGAGCACACTCTTCGTTAAAATAATTTTTTTAACAACAAATGAATGGTTTTCATTCATCAAATATGATTAAAGATTGGAGAAGCAAAGAAGGAATAGAAAAGAGTGTTGAACAGTGAACAGTGGACCAGAGGGGAATGCATCAGCCAATTGGGAGTGTAAAAATTCCTGTCCCACATCGAAAAAGATGGTAATTGGCGACGTGGGAGGATAGTATAAAAGGGCGGGAGCAGCACCGGATTAAACCATGATCCTTCAGGCAGTTAATGGAATATGATGAGTGGTTGGCTCTCGCAAAGAATGCGAGTTGGGTGTCTGCCCCAACGCCTGGTTACGACAATTGGGCACTCATTCCTTCCAATCTGATCCCTACTTCGAAGGTCAAAAATCATTATTTCTTCTTATTTTCTTCAAGTTTTTTTTTTTTAATTTAGTTATTATTATTTCTATTTTTTTTTTTTTTTTGCCAAACCTTTTATTTTCTTAGCTTAAAAGATTCATTTCCTCAAAATGAATACTAAGGGAAAAAAAGACCCTCTAAAAATTTATTTTTATTATAACAGATGAGAGATTTGGTGAGTTGTTTTGGTAAAAATTTAATACTATTTATCAGTATATTAAATAATTTTAGAATTAAAATTAATTTCCTATTAATAACCATTGGTCAGATTGTGGTCTAATTCATCGACAGAAATTGAATTTAATAGATAAGCTTTTTATCTCCCCAACCCAATTTGAGAATCTTTCATTTTCACCCAAGGGAAACAAAACCACAAAATTTTGCAACTTTCAAACGGTTCTAAACTTTTATCAAACTCTATACCCATCTCATAACTGCGAGAATATGGTATATGGAACTTACAAATGACCGTTATTTTGGAGCATTGTAAATATACATACAAAGGCGGAGCAAACTCAAAAAAATATATATACAATGGAATTTGAAGATGATACAGAAATGCACTGGGGAAAAGAAATTCTAAAAAGGTTCCTATATTTATTTCATTGTGGTTATAAACGTGAGGTATTCAAAAATGTTTTTTTTTTTTTTTTTTTTTA